TTCTTTCTCTTTCCTATCTTTCTTTCTCTTTCTCTCTCTTTTCTTTCTCTCTCTTCTTTCTCTTTCTTCTGTCTTTTCTTTCTCTTTCTTTCTCTTCTTTCTCTTTCTCTCTTTCTCTTTTTTTCTCTCTATCTTCTTTCTCTCTTTCTCTTTCTTTCTCTTTCTATCTCTTCTTTCTTCTTTCTCTCTCTTTCTTTCTCTTTCTCTCTCTCTTTCTCTTTCTCTTTCTCTCTCTTCTCTTTTCTCTTTCTCTTTACTCTTTCTCTTTCTTTATCTTTCTTTCTCTCTTTTCTTTTCTCTCTTTCTCTTTCTTCTTTTCTCTTTCTCTCTCTCTTTTCATTCTCTTTCTCTCTCTCTCTTTCTCTCTCTCTCTTTCTCTTTCTCTTTCTCTTTCTCTCTCTCTCTTTCTCTTTCTCTTTCTCTCTCTTTCTCTTTCTCTCTTTCTCTCTTTCTTTCTCTTTCTCTCTTGCTCATCTATTTCTATCTTTCTCTCTCTTTCTATCTCTCTTCTCTCTCTTTCTCTCCTCTCTTTCTCTCTTTCTCTTCTTTCTCTCTCTCTTTCTCTCTCTCTCTTTCTCTCTTCTCTCTTTTTCTCTCTCTTTCTTTCCTCTTTCTATCTCTTTCTCTCTTCTCTCTCTCTTCTCTTTTCTTTCTCTCTCTCTTTCTCTCTTTCTCTTTCTTCTCTCTTTTCTTTCTCTTTCTCTTTCTCTCTTTCTCTCTCTTTTCTCTTTCTTTCTCTCTTTCTCTCTCTTTCTTTCTCTCTCTTTCTCTCTCTTTCTCTCTCTTTCTCTCTCTATTTTCTCTTTAAAGTTGAAATCCCCTGGAAGATGATGGTATGGAAATTCCTTAACCTAGAAAAGCTTTATACTCTGAAATACTTAAACAATTTGATTCCACGATGAGTATGCTGAAGCACCACATTTCGGATGTGCTTGCATTTACTTTTTTATTTTTGATTATATAGGTTTCTAACCAGCCCTAAAATTAAATTTTCTGCATGCTGAGAACATGCAGAAAATGATGTAGCAAGTTGAGTAAGAAATAGCACTGTAAAATGATCATGCATTGTTATCATTAATCATGTATACTCTGATCCATCTAGCACTTTAAAGTTCTTTTAATGCAGCATAAGCCTTTCACATGGAATGCTGTTTGTACTTGGTTATACTTGTACATCTTATGTGGAGGTACTGCAGTAATTACTTCACATAATTAGTTGGAAGACTTGTCCAATCATTCATGGTGCTGCTTTTGGCCCTAGTCTTAATTGCGGTAAAAGTTTTAATAGTTTAAGTGTACTAAAAATGTGATGTATTGTACCCAGCCTTAAATATTTACTTGTATAATTTTCCTGTAAGTATTGACATTAGTATTCCATCTGTTTAACATGTCGTCTTGCAGGTTTTTATTCCAGCTGAAAATAGTTATATAGTACAGTGGACACCCGCATACCGTTGGCATCACATAATTTTAAATCCGCATTACCGCTACATTTTATGCCAAGAATTTTGCCTCGATTACGCTAAAAACCAGCTCAACGCTTGTTCATCAGAGACGGTTAATGTGCACCCTTAGCCAGCCTCACATGTTCCGCCGGTGGCATTGTTTACTAGCCAGCCTCCGCGGGGTAACATCCAAGCATACAATCGGCCACATTTCGTTTATTACAGTGTTTTCTGGTGATTTTTTCTGCAAAATAAAGTGGTGACCATGGGCCACCACGAAAGCTTCTAGTGCTCAACCTGCAGCAATAAGGGTGAGAATTATCTATAGAGATGAAGAAAGAGATCATTGATAAGTTTGGAAAGTGGAGTGCGTGTCTCCGAGATGGCCAGGTTGTATAGTAAACCCCAATCAACACGATTACTATTGACGTGCAACAAAAAGGCAATCAAGGAGCTGTTCTTGCCACGGTTTAAACTGTGTTTCGAAACAGATGAAGTGATGGAAGTGTTGAGAGACTCTTTATTGGTGATGTGGAATAAATGAGAAAAACAGATAGCAGGATGATAGCATCTCTCAAGTGATCATAAGTGAAAAGGCTAGAAGTTGATGAGGATTTAATTAAAAAAATGCCTGCAACTCGTGATGTGAGTGAAATTTAAGGCCAAGCCAAAGGTTGGATTGAGAAATTTAAGAGGTGTAAGTGGCATACATCAGTGCGATAAGGCTTGGTGATGGCTGCAGTTCGGACCACAAAGCGGCTGAAAATTATGTGCAGATTCAAGGAGTACATAGAAACTGAAGGAACTGAAACCTAAACACGTGTTTAATTGTGATGAAAACAGGCTGTTTTGGAAGAAATGCAAGCAGGACCTACTATTATCAGGAGGAAAAGGCACTCCCAGGACATAAGCCTATGAAACAGGCTACTCTTGTTGATGTGTTCCATTGCTATGGTGATTGCAAAGTGAAGCCTTTATTAGTGTATCACTCTGAAAAACTCCGACGTTCTGGCAAAAGAATGTCCTCAAGGAAAATTTGTGTGTTGCTGTGGAGGGCAAAACGTAAGGCATGGGTCACTAGGACTTTTCTATGGACTGGTTGCACCCATGCATTTGCCCCCATATGTGAGAGATTACCCCCCCCCTCAATGCCAGCCAATTAGAACTTAATGCCTCCTGGTGTTAGACAATGACCCTGGTCATTACAGATCGTGGCCAGATGCGACTTTATGGGGACATGCAATTCATTAAGGTGAAAAGTTTTTGCTCCTAATACCACTCCTCTCCTGCAGCCCATGGACCAGCAGGTTATTGCAAACTTCAAAAACGGTACACAAAAGCTCTGTTTGAAAGTGCTTTGTAGTGACATCAGAAACTCAACTGACTTGAGAGTTTTGGAGAGAGAGCACTTTAAAAAAATTTTTTTAAAAATCATCAATTGTGTAAAACCTTATAGGTAAGGCTTGGGAGGGAGTGACTAAGAAGACACTTGAATTGCTTGGAAGAAACTGGGCCAGAATGTGTAGACCAAGGATTTTGAAGGGTTTTGGCTAACCATGAGAATCCTATGCCAGTTGAGGAAAGCCATTATGGCATTGGAAAGTCCTTGGGGTTGGAGGTTTAGTGGGGATGATGCTGGGGGATGATGGGGATGAATGATCTATCAATGAGTGATAGATCAAACTTCAACAGCAAGAGGCCAGACCTGAGGAAACTGGTTCGAAGGCAGGGGGAGAGAGAGATTGAAGAAATTGCCTAACTACAAAGATTAGGAAATCTGTGCAAAGTGGCTTGAAGTGCAAACCTTCATGGATGTAAAATCCCCTCACACGCTATGCAGCCGTGTGGTGACTATTACACTGACACTGTTGTAAAAAACTTTAGGGGAAGTATGAAGAACGAGAGGTACAGGCCACTATGGACAGATATGTTGTGCGACCAGAACTCCAGTGACTCTGAAGCTGGTCCTAGTGGCATTAAGAAGGGAGTAACCCCAGAGAAAAGGACTTGACAACTCAAGTCTTAATGGAAGGGGGATTCCCTTCTAAACACTACCACACTCCTCCTTCTCCCATCCCACCAATCATCACCAGATCTTCAATAAAAGTAAGTGTCATGTAATTGTGCATGCCTTTTTCAGTTTGTGTGTATTAAAATTAATATTTCATGTGGTAAAATTTTTTTTTTTTCATACTTTGGGGTGTCTTGCACGGATTAATTTGATTTCCATTATTTCTTATGGGGAAAATTCATTCGCATAACGATAATTTCGCATAACAATGAGCTCTCTTGCATGGATTAATATCGCTATGCGGGTGTCCACTGTATTTAGTTCAAAGTATGCTGTTCAAAATACTATACTAATATTTCACAGGAGCTTGGCTGCCAGAGGTCTGTGGCCTTGATGATGTGTTCAGGTCACAGGTTGTGATGTTGGAACATGTGGTTAGACTACCAGTCACACAACTTCGGGGAATTGCAGCTATTGTCGACTGTGCTGGGCTTTCCATGACTCATGCATATTATCTGACTCCTACACACATAAGAAGAATGATATCTGTTATACAGGTAACAATAATAAATTTTATGCAAGGATAAATACTATGTGAAAACTGAACAAATTTCCAGTATAATATTATGTAAATGCAAACTTGTGGTACGTTATTGAAGTCTGAATTTTTATCATGCAGGAAGTGTTTCCCCTGAGGTTTAAGGCCTTGCACTTTGTCCATGAACCTTCTATATTTGACTGGGTCTTCAGCCTCATTAAACCATTCCTCTCTGAAACTATAAAAGGACGGGTAAGTAGAGTACTTGTATTGATGATTAATAGCTCAAAGTTAATCTACATGTTTTGCATTCTGTTGTTAACAGGAAATTAGACCATAACCCCCTACTCAATTCCTTACAAAATTTACTGAAACATGGCTAGATAACAGCATAATAACTACACAGTGCATTAGTCTCAACTGATTTAAACAAGATTCCTCTAAAGCATAAATGGAGAAGTAAACCTGTTTCCTTACTGAAACTCCTAACCTCTTGTATGTCTTGATGACCAAACACATTGCTGTTAGAAGAAAAGAATACCAATGGCTTGTTAAAAAAAAATTCTCTTACAAAAAAAAAATATATAAAAAATTACTACCAAATTAAAGACTAGGTTAGTCTCTAAATTAAGTACTTTGCTAAATATTAATGTAATCAGAAAGTAAAAAAAAATAAGCCTCCTGATGCTTTAATTTTAATAAAACCAAAGATGCTAAAAACCAGTTAAATTTTAAATTTTTAAAGAAGTCAGTACCTGATCAGCTGGGTTGTGGTTCATTTGTTGGTTTGTGTGCAGCCAGCAGTAACAGCCTGGTTGATCAGGCCCTGAACCACCAGGAAGCCTGGTCAGACCTGGCCATGGGGATGTTAACCCCAGAAACCCCTCTCCAGGTAAGTGCAATATCCCAACCCCTTCTTCAGAGTGCAGGCACTGCCCTTCCCACTTCTGTTACTCTGTCCAGCTAACTGGTTTCCCTGCATTCCTTTATAAAAGTTACCTTGCTCATGCTTCAGGAGTATGTCCATTAAAAACTTTCTCTCTGATATGCTTGCATAAGCCTGCTGAATGACTCCCTCCCCATACTACCTTTCATTCCAGATTTGTACCCTGTCATCCTTTTCTATCCCACCTTAGCAATCGGTCCACAGCCTTTTTGACTTGTGCCTTTAGAGACTTCTCATCATTTAATTTTTGCACTCTGAATTCTTGGCATATTCACATGAGTCACACACACACCTCCACTGCATCAACCCTCTCTTTGCTACAGCAAACCACACATTTTACCCTCTCCCCATCTATTCTTTGATTTACTTTCATTGACCCATCTGCTGACTAGTCCATTCTCAAATACAGTATTGAAATGCATTAATTTTCTGCATCCTCCCTCCCTTCAGTCTATCTTCAGACCTGGTGGCAAAGCTCTTGCTTCACATGTTGAGGGTCTGGCTTCGATTCCCAGCAAGGGTGGAAACATTGGGCGTGTTTCCTTACACCGGTCATCCATGTTCACCCATCAGTAAAAATGGGTACCTGAGTTTGTCGATCAGCGTGGGCTGCATCCCGGGATAAAATTGACCTAATTTGCCCAAAATGTTCTGCATTCTATATAGTACTGTATCATTGATGTCAACTAGGCCTGTATACCTTGTACATGCTATTCCCCCCTCCCCCCCAACAACCAGGCCGTATCCCACCAAGGCAGGGTGACTTAACAAGAAAACCGAAAGTTTCTCGTTTTAAAATTAGTAATGTATACAGGAGAAGGGGGTTACTAGCCCCTTCCTCCCGACATTTTAGTCACTTATGACATGCACAGCTTACGGAGGAAGAATTCTGTTCCGCTTCCCCATGGAGATAGGAAATAAACAAAAATGAGAACTAGTAAGGAAATAGAAGAAAACTCAGAAGGGTGTGTGCACATATGCTTGTACATACATATGTGGTGTGACCTAAGTGTAAGTAGAAGTAGCAAGCCATACCTGAAATCTTGCATGTTTGAGACAGAAAGACACTAGCAATCCTACCATCATGTAAAACAATTATAGGCTTCTGTTTTACTCACTTGGCAGGACTGTAGTACCTCCCTGGGTGGTTGCTGTCTACCAACCTACTACCCACACTTGTACATGTACTTCTTAATAAACCAGTTTTATTCACAGACGACACTACTTATGTCTACTCCCACTCAACCCCAGCTATACTTAGCCACTGTAAACAATGAGTTTCTAAAAATATATACTTTGACGATGACCAACAAACTCTCTTAACATAGACTAAACATACTTCATGCTGTTTGGAAACAGAACTTTAAATATCCAACTTAATACAGTGGACCCCCGGTTAACGATATTTTTTCATTCCATAAGTATGTTCAGGTGCCAGTACTGACCGAATTTATTCCCATAAGGAATATTGTGAAGTAGATTAGTCCATTTCAGACCCCCAAACATACAAGTACAAACGCACTTACATAAATACACTTACATAATTGGTCGCATTCGGAGGTAATCGTTATGCGGGGGTCCACTGTATATTGATAAATGGTTCCCCCATTACAAGACACACCAATACACAAATAACCCGCACATAAAAGAGAGAAGCTTACGACGACATAAGGGTTATTTGTGTATCGTTCCAGTTACGGTATTGTGCCTTTTTTGTTATTTAAGACACACCAAGGGTAAATTTCTAGGTCTTCACCTTGGCTAATCTTAAATTTCATTCCTACATCCAGTATATATCCAAGAAAATTTCCAAATCAGTAGGCATCCTTTCCAAGATACGGTACTATGGGCCCCAAACAACACTCCTTACCCTGTACCACTCTTTCATATATCCCTACCTCACCTGTGGTATTTGTGCCTGGAGATCAACCACAGCCAACCACCTTAAACCTTTAATAACCCTACAAAGAGCTTCTGTGTGGATGATTACCACTCCTGTGCCAATCAGCACACCCCACCATTTTTCAAAAGCCTGAGCCTACTAAATATACGAGACATACTCACATTACTCTATTGTGCCTGCTGTATATACAGAACACACTCTGATGTAATCCCTCCACTTAAATTTCTCCTTGATAGCTACAACAGAATGCACAGCCATAATACAAGGCACAAAGCACTCTTCGGCATCCCTCGTGTCAGTCACACTGTATGCAAAAATGTAATGCACATAAAGGGCCCAAAGATATGGAATTCACTACCTGAACCGGTCAAGATCCCCTGACTACATACAAATTTAGGGCTATGCTTAAAAATCCTCTCATCTCTCAATACTAACCTAACCAGCCAAAACAACTTCTAATCAGTTGGAAGCAACTCTCCCTAATATTATATTATATATGACCTCTAGGCTTTTAAAACATCTGCCAGTCCATAAAATATTGTTGTTTGAACTATTAATTGTAATATTGTTTTTATCATGTGCATATTCAAGATGATTATTCTTATAAACTTCCACCCTGACTGTCTTGCATTAGTATTAAGAAAAAAATGTTTATTAAAAAGTTAACCATTCTTATCTTGTCTAGACTTAAGTAGTTATTATGTACTAGGATTAGTTTGCCCAAAATGCCCCAGCATGATAGTGGCTTTCTTTGTACTTAGCAAATCAAAATTGTAATTACACATTGTAACCACTGCAAAGAAATAAAATCTTTAATCTTTAGATGTTATTGTATGAGAATATAGTGGTAAATATGAAAAGGAGAGGAGAGTGTATGGATAAAGGAAGGTGGGCATTGAATGGGCTGGATTAGACGCAGGTAGTTGAGGAGTAGAGGCAGCCTGGGATCAATAGAACAGCAGAACTAGTAGACACAGACTAGGACTGGTTATGTTGAAAATGGTATTAAATAATGACAAGTTGGTACCAACACCCTTAATGGGTGTGAAGCATGAGTTGTAAGTGCTGTAGCAAGGAGGAGGCTGGAGGCAGTGGAGATGTAATGTCTAAGGGCAATGTGTGATGTTAATATTGTGCAGAGAATTTGTAGTGTGGAAATTAGGTGTTGTGGAGTTGCTAAAAATATTAATCAGATGGCTGAAGAGGGGTTGTTGAGGTGGTTTGGTTATTTAGAGGATGGAACAAAGCAGAATGACTTGTAGAGTATATAAATCTGTAGTGGAAGGAAGATAGGGTAGGGGTCGTCCTAAGAAAGATTGGAGGGAGGGGGCAATGGGCTGGAGCTTTCCACAAATGTGCTAGACAGTGGTGGCTCATTCATAGGAGCTGCAAAGCTGCAATCTTCCCCCAGATTCTCACTGCCAGAGGTACGACTTAATCAACCTTACTCTAAAATAATTTCCAACTGACAAATATATTACAGGGAAAATCTGTTGTATGTTGTTTTCAATGTATTTATAAGCGAATTTTTATTTATTTTTTTTTTTTGTTGAAATGAGATAAAAAATGATTAAAAATGGAAGTTTGATGCAGTACGATAGTATAGGTATTACTGGCACTATGAGCCGCTGCTCGTGCTAGATAGGAGTGAATGGAGACGAATAGTTTTTGGGACCTGATGAGCTGTTGGAGTGTGAGCTGGATTATATTTTGTGAAGGGATTCGGGGAAACCAGTTAGGCGAACTTGAGTCCTGGAGATGGGAAGTACAATGCCTGCACTTTGAAGGAGGGGTTTGGGATATTGGCTGTTTGGAGTGACATGTAAACTTGCATATGAGCACTTCTGCATAGATGATGATTATGTATGAATGATGGTGAAAGTGTTGAACAATGATGAAAGTTTTTTTTTTTTTTTTTTTTTTTCTCACCCTGCCTCAGTGGGGAAATGGCCAATATGTTTAAAAAAAAAAAAAAAATTATCATCTAGGCATTATCCTCTTCACCTTGCTCATTTCTATATTCACTTTTAATTTCCTTTTACACACTGTCCCAAATTCATCTCCCAACTTTTACAACCTACCTTCAGAAGTCCCAAACAATCTGTTGGCAAAGAGCATTTGTAATAATGCAGACTGTTTCAGATCCATCTTTTAATCCCATGCCACTCCCAATACCCTACCATTCACTGCCTTTACAGTCCCCCTCATTTAACAATGTTTAAGCAACCACTGTGACAACATTCATTCCTGTCCAAGTCCTATTTGTACTTAGTCTTCCCTTCACTCCTACATACCCAAACTTGAGCTTCATTCTGCATAAGAACTCAAGACTTGTTTTAGTAACCTACTAAATGGATATTTGCAATGTCTACCACATGGCTTCCTTATTCACCCTGTCATGTGCCTCTTCCAACTCATAAATACAACTAGTAGCTCTTTACCCCAAGTACTGCTCACTTCTGTGCTTCAATGCCAACATTTAGTCTACACATTCCTGCCCTTTCTTAATTTCTGTTCCTTTGCAGTCCTACTTTCTTATCCCTATCCCTTTCAATAATCACTTTAAACTTGATCAAGTATACTGAACAAGCTTATGCCCCTATAATTTATACTCTCATCCCCTTATACAAGGCAGCTATGCAGGCTCTGCCAGTCCTTTGGTACCTTCCCTTCTTTCATGCATATATTTAACACTCATACCACCATTCTAAAACTATATTCCACCTGTCTTTCCCCCCCCCTCTCCCAATCAAGATAAATTATTATTGATAGTAGCAAATCAAAATGGTTGAAACCTGATAGCCATAAATTAATACTTCTAGCAATTTTTTGGCACTAAAAGCACTGAATAATCATTCATGTGGTCTGTAAATCACACAATTTGAGGCAGACAACAGTTAATGGCTTACAGGGATGTATGTAGATTTTTATTAGAGACTGCTATTGTATATTAAATAAAAACATTGTTGTGTCATTGAAGTATACTGTAGCAAAAAAAATTTGTATTTTCCCCAGTTACATTTTCATGGAGAAGATCTGCCCTCTCTCCACCAATACATTCCTGCTGAGGAGTTACCAGAAGAGCTGGGGGGTAGCCGGCCTATGGATAATACATTCCTTGTGGAAAACCTTAAAAAGCATGAGGATTATTTTAAAGGTACTGTACAGGCCATTATAGTTAAATGAGTTACAACATTGTTACTTGTGTAGATGTCTGAACACTTAATTTTTCCACTCTCCTATATCTACAGTATTGATGCCAGCTTCACCTGCATTATCTACATTTTAAGCACACTTTCCTCAGATATGCTGCGAGCAGTAAATTTTGGCCCAGACATGAGAAAATGGGTCTGTGCAGTGAGTGCATGGTATAAAAAAAAAAAAAAACCTGCTTCACACAATGCATGATGGGGAAAAGCAAACTTCTGACCTTGTGATTCATTTCAAGTGGTGACCAAATTGTTTCTTTGGTTTCAACCTTTTCACTGTTGGTGTCATATTAGTACAGCTTAAAAGCCAGTGTTGGTGCCGTATTAGTATGCCAAAATTCTAGAGGTTTCAAATCTAACAGGAAAAAGCTGGTAGACCTACATGTGAGAGAATGGGTCCGAGTGATCAGTGTATGCATAACCGAGATAAAACTCCTCAATTACTGGGAGCGCTTGAAGTTCCTGAGCTTGTACTCCCTGGAACGCAGGTGGGAGAGATGCATGATTATATACACCTGGAAAATCCTAGAGGGACTAGTACCAAACTTGCACACGAAAATCACTCCCTACGAAAGCAAAAGACTCGACAGATGATGCAACATCCCCCTAATGAAAAGCAGGGGTGTCACTAGCACATTGAGACAACACAATAAGTGTCAGGGGTCCAAGATTTCAACTGCCTCCCAGCATACATAAGGGGGATTACCAGTGGACCCCTGGCTGTCTTCAAGCAGGCACTGGACTGTGGTTTGTATGTTGGATTGCGTGCAGCCAGCAGTAACAGCCTGGTTGATCAGGCCCTGATCTACCATGAGGCCTGGTCACAGACTGGGCTGTGGGGGCATTGACCCCTGGAACACTCTCCAGGTAAACTCCAGGTATACAGTATAAAAAAAATCTTGCAGCACGCAGTGCATAATGAGAAAAAAAACTACGACTGTGTTTTTGGTTTAAAACGCTGAATTTGAGGTGTATTTTCGTATGGTATTTATGGTTGTACAGTGATGCCCCGAGTTTCGTACAGCTCCCAACTCGAACAGTTATATAAGAGTATTATTGTAAGTGTATTTTTGGGGGTCTGAAATGGACTACTCTAAATTACATTATTCCTTATGGGAACAAATTCGTTCATTAATAGCGCTTGAACAGCCTTCTGGAATGAATTATGGCTGAAACTCTGGGTACCACTGTATTCTTGTTTTCTTTGTCTCATTTGATAGAATGGAAGATATATTACAGAAATAGAGATGCTTTTGATTGGTTTCACGATGAAAATTACCTTGAAATTGAGCTCAAAGTTGCGGAAATGTTTGATTTTTGTCCATGTTCAAGAGTAAACAAATGATGTCACCATCCATTACTTGTCCAACTGGCCAGTCTTATATACAGTCATGAATGGGTTGACATTATTTATACAATTATTACAATAATGCAGTAATCTTCATAACATTAAATCTACTTTTTTGTGTGAATAAAAATTAAAAATGGAAAGCAAGAGTAATATAAGAGGGGCCTGGAGATGTGACTGATGAACAGAGAAAATGCTATTTTAGTGCCAGGAGTGTTTATTCTGGACCCTGTTTTGAAATTGGCATCTTTTGAAATTTGTGTGAATAGGCCAAATTGCCCATTTCTGACCACTTTATTGTGTAGTTGAAATTGGTAAATGAGCAGTTTCTTGTACTCAATTGATAGAGCAAATGGAGTTTAAGAGAAATTGCTATGAGTTTGGTTGACTGGAACAGTGGAATTGGCCAAAAAATAGGGCTCAGAGTGGGCGAAATCACCGATGCATATATTGCCGAGACCTCTGACTTCATGAAAGCGTGATTCCATAAGTTTTCCATCAAAATTTGTGCTTTTAGTGTCATTACCATCGGGAAAAGATTATTATTTCATAAGAATTTTTTTTTTTATGTATATTTTTGAAAATCCTTCGACACTGAGAGCAAGTTTGTGAGCAGGGGTCTCAACAGTGAAAGGGTTAAAGAATAGAGAATGGAAGACATACTACTGAAAGATGATTTTGGTTGGTTTCAGGAATGGAAGCCACTTGAACAGTGGTGGAAATACAGGTACAATTTTCCGGAACCTTTAGTTCCCAAGACTTTCTGGATTACTGATTTTTCCGGACTAGGGGTAGTCACTTTAGTCAGAATAAACATTTGATTTACTGAGACCGTAATCTTCACAGATCTTACGCACTGAAGCATTAAAGTCCAGTTTTCTCAACAGTTCAACATTTTCTTGAAGCCGTAGCTGGGGTTAATTTTATCGAAATAAGCTAAGAAACTCGCAGAATTGGGGTGTCCCTCCCACCAGCAGGTGCAGTGTAAACAATCCAAGTGAGCACGGCTACACTCTATGCCATCTGTGGGCCGCCCAGTCTGGCGGCCACGGGAATTTCAAGTTCATGCTCGTAAATTTGTATGGATTATAGGAGGTTCTGGACCATCAGTGTCCAGAAAGTCGGTGTTGTACCTGTATAAGATTTTTGATGCTTTTCTTGAGAACGGGTAAGGCCTTCACCCCTCCCTCGTCTGTTTTTATGGGTTTTAACAAGGTCTGCTTCAATTATTGTGATGCCCTCAACCATGATCAATTATTCTTGATTGTTGTTTATTATCTCCCCCCCCCCCCCCAAAAAAAAAAAAAAAAAAAAAAAAAAAAAAAGAGTAAAAATTTTTCTTGACATTTAAAATGGAGGGCAAGTGTAATATCAGAGACCTGGGGACATGATTAATGAACAAGGAAAATATTGCTTTAGCAGTTGGAATGCCAGGTGTTTATTTTGGGCATTTTAAATTGGAATTTATTAATTTTTGTAAAATTGGCCCAGTTCCCAACTTCTGTGCACTTTACAGGGTGGTTCAGATAATTGAATGGGCAGTTTCTTGTGCTCATTTGATAGACCCGGAGGCATACTAGTGAAGTAGCTAGGAATTTAGTCAATTTGAACAGTGGAAATGGCTTACAATAGGACTCGGTGGGTGAGCTTATTGATGTGAAAATTGTGCCAAGACCACCAATGTTGTTCCTGTGTAATTTTTTAGTTTTACGTCAAATTTCACATCCTTGGTGTTATTACCTTAAGAAAAAAAGATTCATAACCATTTCAGATTTTTTTTTTTTAATTCCCGACATTGTCAGCACTTAATTTTGGACTTCCACAGTGAAGGGGTTGAAAGGAAATTGCCAGAAAAGCTGATCTAAACAAATGTGGAACATTTCCAACTTGTCATATTTGGTCTAGCAAGTGACCTATTAGGATTAAGCATATTTTGTGTGTGTAAAATTTCAATACATTAAAATTACTGCTGCTAATTACTGTGTAGTAGCTTTACTTTGAAAACTCAAGATCACTTTGATCACTGGTTAACCCTTTCAGGGTTTCCGACGTACTAGTCTGGCTTACGCACCAGGGTTATTGACGTACTAGTACACGTAAATTCTAGCGCCTTCAAATCTAGCGAGAGAAAGCTGGTAGGCCTGCATATGAAAGAATGGGTCTGTGGTCAGTGTGTACAGTACAAAAAAAAATCCTGCAGCACAGTGAGTAATGAGAAAAATTGAGCTCAAAGTAGCAGAAATGTTCGATTTTTGCCAAAGTTCAAAAGTAAACAAATTCTGCCACACGTCCAATACACATCAACTGGCGAGTCTAATATTCTTTCACAAGTGCACTGATATTACTTATACCATTTCTACAGTAGTCTGCATAACAATAAATCTTCTATTTTTTGTGAGAATAAAAATTCAAAGTGGAAATGCAAGAGGGACCTGGGGACATGACTAATGAACAGAGGAAATGTTATTTTAGTGCTAGGAATGTCTGTCTTTATTCTGGACCCTATTTGGAAACTGGCATCTTTTGAAATTTGTGTGAAATTGGCAAAATTGCTAATTTCTGACCACTTTATTGGATAGTTGAAATCAGTAAATGGGTGGTTTCTTGTACTCATTTGATAGGAAAAATGGAGTTCTAGTGAAATAGTTATGATTTTTGTCAACTAATATACTGGAATTGGCAGAAAATAGGGCTCAGAGTGGGCAAAATCGCCAATGCATAAACATCATCGAGACCGCTAACTTTGCAATAGCATAATTCCGTAAATTTTCCATCAAATTTCACACTTTTGGTGTCATTATGATCGGGAAAAGATTATCTTTTCATAAGAATTTTTTTTTTTTTTTGACCCTGAGAACAAGTTTAGGAGAGGGCCTCTCGACCCTGAAAGGGTTAACAGTTTTTGAAAAGTTGTATGCTTCTTAAATGAGATTAGTTAATTCTTATGCATTTTCATGTCCTGAATCCAAATATCACCTTGAGAAATGCTTATTGGCTATAGGTTTAAAGATTCGAGACGTGTAATATTTTATTATTTTATTATAATGTACAATGTGTCGGTATGTTTTAAACTCTAATCCGGACCTACTCTCTGCCTTTTTGCTTGACGCTTATAGTGGGCTGAAGAATCATCTCTTGTCAATGTCCAGCAATAGTCTGCAAGCATTCTTGTGCCCCATTTGCCCTGGTACCATTTTTCCATGGTTGAAATATCTTGGTGAAACCTTTCACTATGTTCATCGCTATCTGCCCCAGTTCCCTGGAAAAAGTCTAAATGCGAGTCCAAAAAGTGGATTTTAAGTGATGTTACATCTCGTGTTCTTGTTAGCCTTGATGAGGTTTTCCACCAATTCTTCATAGTTGCCTCCCCTTCTGTTTCTGAGAAATCCTTTTGCCACGAACTTGAGTGCTTCCTGAGAAGCTTTCTCCTCCCCATGAAGGTCTGATTCAAAGTTGCCATCTTTAAGAAGCTCTCAAATCTGAGGACCATTAAAGACTCCCTCTCTTATCTTAGTGTCGCTCAGTGAGGGAAACTTTGATGTTAAATAATTGAATCCCTGGCTGGATTTGTCCATAGCTTTTACAAAGTTTTTCATGAAC